GGCTATTTGGCTCCATCAAAGAGGTAGCTAGCTAAGGGATGCTGCAAGTTGGGAAGACTTCAAATTTGAGGGTCCATGCATTTCAAAATTTTATGGAAGTAAAACTTATTGTGATGGGTGAAATGATGGGAGATCAGCCAACCGGTGAACGTAGCTCAACTGGTAGCGAGGGAGCGCCACAAGGGTTAGGTCCCAGGTTCGAATCTCGGCAACTGCGATGAGAGGTTACTATGTTAAAATGCATAGGGCCTCTGCAAGTACCGGGGACAAAGTCTCACTCTCTATCTGTCAGATTGAGATTATAGTCCAATTTACATCCTCCCAGCGTACCGTCTGGTCGGGGTTGGGGGGGCCCTCAGAGATGGAGTGTCATCCTTTTTTATGGGAGATCAGCCATGGTGGGGTAACTTTTTTATTAAAATTTGTCGTTTGATTACGAGATTAATCCAACGGTAGTGAAAAGAAATGTGCCAAGGATGTTTTTACTTGAACTGTAATTTGCTGGTCTCTTCTGGTCTGGTCCGTTTAAGTCTGGTCTGGTAAACGTCTGGTCTCTGTGTATTTTATAACTACGGAAGTCAAGTATGATCTGATTTGTTTAAGTCTGATTTGATCTGGTTAGTCTATGTTCGGTCTGGTCTGGGGTCGAAAACGGTCCAAGTAAAAACATCATAAAATACATGTTAGTCGGTGTAGACTTAATTATTAAGATCTAATTGCAGATTAATGTTTGATTTGCTTTGTTAACATACTAATAATTTCAAGCCTCATCTTAATTAATTAAAAAAGTTCAATCACTCGATGTAGTGTGAATATTAGTTCAAAATTATACACTTAATATGAACATGAAAAGTGAGTTATGAATGATATAAGTGTATTGTGTAAAAAGTGTGTAGAGAACTTTTTCATTGGCTAAAAGACATGAAACTGGCCGGATGCCATTGATGTGGACGGGATGCATGGATTTCATGTGATAAAATATGAAAATGGAGGTAGCTAGACATATTCGTGTATGCATTCTTTTAGCCTTTTTCTAGATTATTATGATCACATTAATTACAAACTTAATTACGCTGGGATTGCATTGAAGTGAAATGCACTTCAAATTTTTTCTATATTTGACTATGCTTGTTGACTTTCTTTGCCTTCTAGTTTTTGTGGATGCATGTTTTGAATCATTATTTCATTTATTACTCCATATTTAAAGTTATTTTCTCCACAAATTAACAAAAATATTCTGCCAGTATTGATATTACAATTTTGCTTGGTGTATACCCAGAATTACACTCTAGGATACACTATATATAAACTCCTCTCATTTTTTACTCCCCCATTTTTACTCTCTCCTTCCTCTCTTCTAATATACTCTCTCTTTCTCTCTGTCCTTTCTTTCTTTCTCCTTCTTCGTCATCTTCTTCTTTTTCTTTCAGTCTCTTTTTCTTCCTTTTTACCTTTTATTCACCATTTTCCATCATCTTTGACCCTCATCTTCACCATCATCTTCCATCATATATAAAAAATTATTGTTTTAGAATAATCAAAAATTCGCCGAAAAGTCACCGGAAATTTAGAATCGCCGGAATTTTGTCGATATGGTATATAAATATTGTTTGTATCATGCTAAATAATAATAAATATTGTCTGTGGTGAAAGATGAAACTAAAAAACTAGAAACATTCTATAAACTTTCATCATAGACAAAAAATGTTCATATACAAATATTAGTTTTCTTTCAATGTTTGTGTACACTAACAGAAAATGTTATAAAAAGTCATGGTTAGATTGCACTGAAACAAATGCATGTGTACATAGACAAAAAATGTATACATACAGACACTTTTTTGTCTACACAGACAACTAACAACTAATGTTTGTGTACACAAACATTGTTTCTCGTGCAACAACCCTGACATTTTTACATAAAGATATGCCTATGAATGTTATTTACACGCAAACCAATATCTCCATACACAAAATTAACATTTTTGTTTGTGTACACAAATAACTTAATCCTGATATTAGTTGTCTGTACTCATAACTTTTTTGTCTGTGTACATTGATATTGATTTCTGTGCAACCAAGCTGACGAAACTGCAAAAAAGATACACCGGTCACTGTGATTTACACGCAAATCAATTTTTGTTCACAATGACAATTTTTGTTAAAAGTGTCTATATTTGTACCTTTTTTGTCTGTGAAAAGCAAATAAAAAGGGTGCAACCCAGGATGTAAATCAAGAACCCATTTGGTAACACTAAAATCGATTGAATCAGTTTATTCTACTGAAATTTATGAAGTTCTAATAGAAGTGGTTGTGTTCGTTGATTCTGCTGAATAAATTATACTTAAAATATACTCTATTAATAAAATAAAGAAAAAATTATATGTAAACATAGTTAATATGATCATCTATTGTAAATTCAGTCAATACAATCAGACAAACAACTTTAACCTTATTTTTCTTATTATTACACAATTTAGCGCAAAATCAAAATTACATGTTTGATTAAAAATTTACCGATAAACTTAATAATCTAAAAAAAAAGAGTCACGGAGCGGATACTAAGGAACCCCAAGCATAACAGTTGATTTTAACCAATGGAGGACATAGCCACATACGAACTTTTTAAATCTTATGAAATGGATTAATTGCGCCAAACCCCCCGTGAAATATAAATTCAGCGCATTACTCCCTTGTGATTTAAAAAATGTGTCAAACTCCCCTATGTTTTAATTAATCATGTGCAAAACTCCTTTCAAGAACAAATTTTACAATTTTGAAATCACTTTTTTTAATAATATGGTTGAATATGCAAATAACTTAGTCAAAATTTCTAAATTATGCAAAAAAAACTAATCATTTTTCATTATAACACAGGAGGATTTGATGCATTTTAAAAACAACCATTCTTGATGTACACACCCTTGTACACACCTTATACACACCATGTTTGTGAAGCTTTTTTTTGTCTGTGAATCCGGTTCACAGACTATTTTGTTTGTGCAAAACATTGTCTGTGAATCGATGTTCACAGACAAAAAAATAAGCTTTCACAGACATAGATGTGTAAAAAAGTGTGTATAAGAGCGTGTAGACATGCAAGTTGATGACTTGGTTTGGCGCAATTAACCCATTCTGAAATATGCAACCATGCAAGTTGGTGTAATACAGTAGCGTTCAGACGCATTAACTGCATCTTGTATTTACGTCACGTGGAGTTGTTTCATTAAATAAAGTAGTGGGAAAAAAAGTAGTGAGAAATAATAGGGAGAAAGAGGATTATTTATCATTAATTAATAATATGGACTCCGTAATCTTTAGTCAATAATAAAGTTCGAGGATCACCTAATTCTTCTGTTTATTATTACTCTCCTAATCACTGCCTAAAAATTCTGTCCCAGGAAAAAAAGCAAAATCATAGACATTTCCTCCAACAAACGCCACCCTCAAATTTCACGACGATTATCATCGGAAAAACTTTTCCGATTTTCAATTCAGGTAAATCCTTGTTTAATTTAAACCATTTTTAATCTTTTGTTCATCATCATTACTTAATAATTTGTCATTTGTTGTTTATTACGAAGTATGATCCCCTCTCCCTTTTAGGGTTATGAAATTAGTAATTGGGTATTCAAAATCGTAGGTAATTTATCGTCGATCATTCAAATTTAAACAAGAATTTATGATACAAAAACATTTGGGGTTGTCATTCTCTTTGAAAAAGGTTTTGGGGTTAATTTTTTGAATGAATTGTTTTGCAAGAAAACAGCTTTCGTGAATAAAGTTAAAAAAAATGTCCAGGTTATGTTAAGATTCTTGATTTCTTTCCATCAGTTTTATCTTTCTTTGTAATTATGAAAATACAGCCAATTTATAATGATATATTGATATACCAGTAGTTTTTATCTGTACAATTTGACTCCTTGTTGATTAAGGCCTGCATTGTTTTTTTATGAAGGATGTCTGAACACCAAGCCATTGACTATAATCATAATGATGATAAAAGGAAGTTACTTGTGTCACAAATATGCATGGAGGCAGTAAAGAACTTCCCGCCGTCAGCAGCGTCAATGCCATCTTCCCCGACGGGCCACCGGAAAACCTGCCTCTGCTCCCCCACCACTCACCCCGGCTCTTTTAGGTGCCGCTACCACAGGAACACCAAACTCACACGCGCCACCATGTCTGTCGCCTCCAATCTCTCTGAGCTAGGAAGTGCTTCTGTCGCCAGCAAGCTCTCTGAGCTGGCCGCGCGTAAATAGGGGCCCCGCGTATGAGGTGGCATGTGGTTAAAGAACTGTACATTTTGAAGAACTTGTGTTTTTATTATGATTGATATATAAACTATTTATCTTCTTGTTCTTTCGTTTATAACTATGTTCATTTTTGTAATAATATATTATGCACAGTTGACAGCAAATTCGATGGATATACATACACACAACACTTGCTTGCCAGAACCTTTTTGTTTCTATTAGCAACTTGCTAAGACATTTCCCACTAGCCAAATATATAGATAGAAATCAACATATAAGATTATTAAGTTGACCTTATGATATAAAATCCCAAAGTCCAACTTAATTCTGTTCACATGAGTAACTTGATCAAACTAAGACCAAAAAAGAGCATATGGATTTCAAGATTGATTTGCTTCAAGTCTCTAACAAACAACCATCTTGAAGAGGCAAAATTGTGTCTTACTGCCTCGGAGTTAAACATACGAAATCGATGGTATATATAGTGTTTCCGAAAGAAATGACAATCATTCCACACATGAGCATGGAGATGCTGCTGTAATGCCATGAAAGGAAATGATCATCCACACCAGTGAACTTGAGGTAGGGAAGCTATTAACATTTTCTTAAAACAGGTGAAGTAAGGCAGGCTTTATTTGAAAAGCTGGCAATTGGCACTTTGTCTACAAACCGATTTTGGAAAAATAGACATTGAAGAAAGCAAGTAACAATAGCATAAGAATTAAGACTAGTAAAGATTAAAGGGAGAGAAGGTTCTGAATTGAAGAAGATTACTATTATATAATCTTATAGAAAATGTACAGCAATGCATAACAGTCACAAGGACCCGTCGCTATGAAGGACGCAACCATTGCCGGATAAAGATAGGTACAACACTACTATTCCATAACGCAACAGTCAAGCGTCCATATATAAAACTTGATCTGTGATAGGGTGGGCAATACACCTAAAGCTATACACATGAAGGTGGGTGGACTTGGACAAACCTCTAAGCGCTCACATAGGAGGACAACCATCATCTTCCTCACCTACTTGGGGGGCGATCATGTTATTCCTGCAAAGAGGGCATGTGAGATTCCAATACTTCAACCACTTCTCAAGACACGCCATGTGGAATACGTGCCCGCATGGCAATCGGTTGATTTCAGCCTCAGGTGCAAATTCTGTCAAGCAAACAGAACACTCTTGTTGTTCCGGATGGTTCTTAGAGGCGGCGCACATCGAGTCATAACGGATTGCAGGAGTTTGGTGCCGAAACTCCTCCATGTAGGACTCCGATGGAGTTCCACGGCATTCAAGTGTATTGTCCATCATTGTTCCGTCAATGGAATAGTCTTCCCATGACGAAATCCGGATGCCGATGATACTGAGGAATGAGCGAACCATGTCTTTGACAATTGAGATGGATATGGCAGTGTTGACCAAAATCACACACAAAACTCCAGCATCATTCGGAGAAGAATAAGGTGAGAGACCCATAATGCACCAAAAACCTGCCAAGAAACATAAGCTATGAGAATGAATAACAGCATGAAAACAAATTAGTAAGACTTGAGGTTCCATTCGAAGATGACATTATAGGAGTAGTTCAAGATTATATTTGTTTTACACACAAAATATTATATGTACAGTTTGCTTATTTTGTATTAATAATTCTGGTAAATGAATGTAATCACGACTCTAAGAGAGAGAAATTCTTTAGGTCATAATTTTAGTTTTTTTATTGCATCTTGATTTTCTCTAATATGTATAACAGTGAAAAAAGTTATCTTTAAAGGAAATCTGATAAGAAATCACATACCTCGAAATCCTAGAAATTGCTTGTACAAACTACAATTTGAATGAAATATTATATTCATATTTTGTTTACTTATCTTTTAATATTAACTTGGTAGATAAATAGGATCAACATCTCCAAAGAGGAAAATCAGATGGGTGGCTATTTTAGAGTTAATTTTGTTATTATCTTGATCATCTCTTGTGTATATAAACCATGAATTAAATAAGACTCTTTCAACTCATATTATCTTCATTCTTTATATTATTATTACACTAAATAATTAAGACCACACCACCTTGTTCGGTTGGGGATTTTGGAGGGGATGGCAATATTTGTTTACTTAAATTAAACTACGAGTATTATTTTAGTTTTGTTGGGTGAAACTTGGAGGGGAAGGGGTCCATTAAGAGAATAGGAGATGGTTGTTCCTTGATATATGATAGCAGTACAGCACCATTAGACAGGGACTCCCCAGGAAAAAAACAACCAAACAAGCCTTGTGAGATTGTATTTTACAAAAAAAAATACCTTTTTTCCTCTGAAACTATGGAAGTGAGATTCTTCAGAAAAACAGCAGAGCTAAACACACAGATCTGCAAAAGAAAAACACAGATTATTAGCCAATTATATAAATAAAACTGCACAAGATCACATCCGCCTGCATAACTACACTTCTGTGAACAAAGAAGGCTGTTCTTCTAGTATGAAGATACCCAGAAAACAATCAAAACCCTAAATCCTTCTAATTCTGATTTCAGATCCACCAATTGAAACACAGGGAGCAATTATATCACACATTCACAATATATCATTCTTTTCAGTTAAAGATATGTTAAAAAGGCTTACTTTATGGAAGAAGAAAAAACCCAACTTTTATTTTTCAACAACTATGGAAGAAAAAAGGGGCAAGGAAAGAGACAGAGGCAGCTCTTGTGGGATATGTCGGGAGAGAATGATTGAATTGTAACCGGGCTTCAAACTGAGATCTAAAAACAGATTATTGAACCCACTTTACATGTGTAGCTCATCAAGAAACGGATTACCCACTTTATCTTTACTTTATTCCACACACCAGACATATAAAAAGCAAAACTTTTCGCGAACTGCAAAAGAAAGGGGAAACAAGAACAAAGAAAGGCAGAGTAGAAGCAAGAGGTGGTAGTACCTGCACGGGTGTTGGGGAAGGAGAAGTTTATCCCTTCTGCAAGTTGCAAGGACTGTTACTATTCTGGGAAGAAGATAAAGTTGGGGAGTTGGGGAGATTCAGAGGATCCCAAACTTAAAGAGGCAGGGAGGTGGTGTATTATCTATATTAAGAAATGGATGATGCGAAGCTTTGCCATAACCTTGTATGTGTAATAAAGACCGTCCCTCGGATGATGATTGTTTTTTTTTTGTTATTATTACCGTAAAGACCGTCCAAATTGAATGACAAACTTTGATGGATATAAGGATTAATAAATGACAATAAATGATGCTTGTTTTTTACATTTTTATTAATCTTTTTAAAAGTAGATACCTTTAAGTTAATGAGAAAAAGTAAAAGTATGGGTAAATTTGGCACTTTATTCTTATTTACATACTTAAAATAGAAAGTTGAAAATTATTTTGGAACAACCAAAAAATGAACTTTTACAAATCAAATTGAGACGGAGGTAGTATTATTTTTACTTTATTTTTACATTTAAATAGGAGTAATATTCAGGCGCTCTTGGGCCCGCCACAAATTTTGTCCCTTCCCCAACCTCATTAGCTGCACGTTCAATGTCGAATTCTATGGGAGTACTATTTCTACTTTATTTTTTCTTAAATTTTTTAAAAAATTAATACTATCTTCTTTCCAAAAAAGTTCATGATAGCAATGATAGCAAAATTTGAATAATGGTTTTAATTATTATATATGTATAAATTTATTAATTTTATACTTTTATGAAAATATTTTGAATAAAGAACATATTGCCATAATTTTCATATTCTAAATAATTTCTTATTAAAAAGTATCATTGGTCGAATGTGATTGCCATTGACCAAGAAAAATCAATTTTGTGAACTTTTTCAGAACGGATGGAATATAATACTCCCTTCATATTTTAAAGAGGAAATAGTAGAGGGGATTTTTTAAAATGCTTTTCATTAACACATAAATGAAGCAAAAAAAACATACAGCTAATTCAGAAGCCGAGTTAATCATAAAGCGGAGTAAAATTCAGAGTCCGTTTGGTGACTATCTTTTCGACTTATCAATCCTACTTTTTCATTAATTATGCAACTTTTGATTTCACACGCAAAATTATGTAACAATAAAAAGATTAATAAAACTTAAGTTATTTTTATGATTGAATTGCTTGAAATTAATGTAAAAGACTATTTTAAATAAGTACGGAGTAGTATTTTTACACTATGTACTACATGTGTTTTTTCATAAACCACCAAAAACAGTCAACTTCATCGCTTCAATTAAATATTTATAAATCTGAGCACAAATAATCAATTCAACTCATTTCAAGAGACTCTAAATATAATTGGTATCCAACAAATTAAATTATACCAAGTCGTGCATTTTCATACTAGTATCTTAAATCACAAGATAAAATACGGATATGTTGGGATTTGGGACGGTCATTTTAAAATTAAAAGAAAATAAAGCTGGGACCCTACCTTCAATGTCCTCGTGGCTTTTGAGAAATCTGACGCATTAAGCGAAAAATTGGAGTATACATGTAAGTTGCTTAAGACATTACTTACTAATAAAAAGATGTGTTTAAAGTGACGCTTACTAAGTATATCACTCTCAATGTATTAATTAAGCGGTACTTTAAACTTTTCCAGTTTCCAAATCTACCCTTACCTTTACCTCTTGCCCTTACCCTATTGTTACCCCACTACCCCGCCCCTACCTTACCCTGACCTAACACTGACTCCCCGACCCCACCCCTACCCCGACCCCACCCTGCCCCCCGACCCACCCCCACACAATGACCCAACCATACCCACCCCCACCTTACCCCTACCTCAACCCTACCCCACCCCTTTACCCCTACCACCTTCCACTACCTTGACCCGACCCCGACCCTGACCCTTCCCTACCTCGACCCACCCCCATACCCCTTACCTCGACCCTACCCTTTTACCTCTACCACCTGCCCTTACCTCGACCCCATCCCCGACACCGCTCCCCCACCAGTACTCCTTACCTTTATCTGACCCCCCCACCACCACCTTACCCAACCCCTACCCTACCGCTCCAGCCTCTACCCCCTTACCACTACCCCGACCCTACCCTCCACCACCTTCCCTACCCCACCCCCTCACCCCTTACCCTACCCTTTAACCCCTACCACCTTCCCCTACCCCCCCCCCACCCCATCCTCCTTCCCTACCCTACCCCCAGATGACCATTACCCCCCACCCTACCCCCCACTTGTACCCCTTACCTTGACCCTACCCTTTTACCTCTACCACCTGCCCCTACCTCGACCCCACCCCCGACTAAGATCCCACCCACTCCCATTACCATACCCCGACCCCTACCCCTTTACCCCATATCACTTGCCCATACCTTGACCCAACCCTTACGAGTAGGGTGAGGGGTTGGTATGTGTGGGAGTAGGGGTGGAGGGTAAGGTCGTGGTAAATGTAGGGGTAAGGAAGGGGTGGGGGTCAAGGGTGTGGGATGGGGGTAGGGTGAGGGTATGGGTTAGGGGTGTGGGTAAGCGACTAAGCGTACGAGGTGATCCCACATATTATATTATATGCTTGTATTCATGAATGTTTGTGTGTGTATATATCTATAGGGTTGTTTTGGACATTTTAATGTTAAACAGTGTTTTAAATCCTTTGAAGTAAACATGAGCTTATAACACTGTTTATTTTATGCGCTGCTTATTAACGCGAATCTTAATAAGCACCGTTTACTAACCCGTGAAGTAAACGTGTCCTTAGGGTTAAGAGTGTAAACGATATGGGTATGTGTGAGTTGAGCTTGATAAGAATTTACGAGCTCGAGATTTATCTCGAGTTTGGGCGAGTTAATTAATTCGAGCTCGAGTTTAATTCGAGCTCAAGCTCAATTCGAGCTCGAATCGAGCTCGGATCAAGATTTGCTACTTAATTTTTATAAATTTGAACTCGAATGATGCTTGAACTCGAGCTAAAAGTACACTATGTTATAATTATTAGAGATTGTGATTATAATAATGTTGCGGGAGTATTATACTCATGCATCACTTTATCACTACCAAGCGGTTTTTAGTTCAGTAGACAACAACATTAACTATAGTAATTGACTATGAGAATATAATGTGACAAGCATTAGCCACAACAATTGTTTGATTTAGTAAATTAGGAAAATCCATAATGTATGTGTGAAGTTTCTAACAGTTCAGTTACGTTCTAAAGGGTAGAACCATTCAGTACCATGTCATTGCGAAACACTACGGTAAAATGTCAAATTAATGCTAAATGTTTTGAAAAAAACTTGCAATTAGTATATACATCATACCGGTAAGTTCACAGGAGATGTTGATTGAATCAAAGATATGGCATTACAAATGTCAGGAAAGATTCATGAGACTTGCATTTTTGTTTTTAAGTTTGCAAATACTCAAATAATGCAACACACTTGATGAAAAATATAACAAAATGATGATACACATGATATACAAAATTTTCATTAAATTCACGTGTAAAACATAAAAAGAAGGGAAAAGTATGGATTAGATACCTGTGGTTGTGGGCGTTTTCACTTAGGGGTCTATGATGATCTTTGTAACAAACGCAGCCTCGTGTTTTGCTACCGTTACCACCCGTGGGGTCTATTGGACCTGGCCGTTAGTTAAGTGCGACGTGGCATATATTTTTTCCCAAATAGGCTCCAGCGTGGCCAATGGAGAGAAAATATTATCCGTGTTATTAAGTAATGCCAATCAAATGTCCGAATACCTCTTCCACAGGCGCTTAGGGTGTGACGAAGAAGAAAGATGAGTTCTTCAAATTCAAGCTCATCTGCCATGGATGGAAGACAACAACTAAAGAGGTGCGATTGTGGAGTACAAGCACCGATTTGGATGGCGACAACAGCGAAGAATAGAGGGAAAAGGTTTCATGGTTGTGGGCGTTATTCGAGTGGGGGTGGTGAACAATGTAAATTTTTTGAGTGGGTTGAGGAGGACACATGTCGTACTTGTCAGGAGAACTTAGATTTGGTTCTTCAGAAGGTTGGAAGACTTGAAGAACATGTCCGAATGAAAGAGATGGAGCTGGAGGGTGAAATGAAGAGCTGCGTTCGTGGAATTGGTGTTCTGAAGGTGCAGAACATGGAACTGCAATTGAAGATGGCTAAGAATGATAATCTGACTTTTAAGTGGAAGCTACTTTGTGTGTCCCTGTTATGTTTTATCTTCTTTGCAATTAGAAGGTTTTAGGTGTAAGTTTATGAAATGGCTGAACCAGATGTCATTGTGTTCACTTTCATTTGTAGTGTGTTTCCATTGTGTAATGTGTAATGAAATGTAACAATATTTGATGCCTGATATATGAACTTTGTGTGAATTTCTTTAGTGTATGAACTAAAAAAGAGCTGAAAAAAGAGCTTTGTGTGAAGTTTGTTATCCCTAAAAAAAAGAGCTTTGTGTTTCCACATATACTGAAAAACAGAGCTTAATAAAACATCCCTGAAACATTCGGTTTCACAAGGATTCATTCACAAATACAGACCATTTGGTGTTACAAAAGAAACCTATGAAACATAACACTTGGTTTGATAACATCCATTAAGAGCATATATATATACCCAAATGATTGATAAATGTTTGAACAATAACCTATACAAAACAACATTTGGTTTGACAGCATCCATTAAAAGCATATATATATACCCAAAACTAGAACAATAGGTATCACACAATCCATATGTATACACCTAACACAAATTACATGGCACTGTCATTTCAGAACTTCATAACATAATGTGAAGTTACTTCATAATATACCCAAAAGAACTTAGATTCGAATGTCATACAACAAGTTCATAACAATACACATGGCAAAGGTGTTTCTCACATAAGTTTCATTACAAAACACATGCTCATAAAAGGCATGATTGACGAGTACATAAAAGTGAACTGAAAACATAGCATATCTTCTAAACTACCCAGCTTCATCTCCTTAGACTCCATTAAAACATAGCACATCCTCACAACTGCATGATGACTTCTTTCCCATCACTCCATCCTTAGTGTTTTGGATCCTGAAATAAGTAATAACATCATAGTAAGTGTAAAGACAACACACTAAAGATTAGGTTACAGTAAAAATGAAGAACAAAATACTACCATTGAGGGTTGTGAACTTGAGGACCTAGTCACTCTTCTGGCTGCTGGGTGGGGTGGTTGTG